TGTGTGTGTGTGTGTGTGTGTGTGTGAGTGTGTGTGTGTGTGTGTGTGTGTTCAGATGTGGGCGTGTGCTCTGGGTCATCAGGCCGCGGCTGTGTTGTTGTACCGCTGGAGCAGCGCGGCTCTGGGAATCCCGGACTCTCTGGGTCGTCTGCCTCTGGCTGTGGCACACTCCCGTGGACACACACGTCTAGCGCGCTGTCTGGAGGAGTTACACACACACTCTCAGACGCAGGAACACACACCGGACACACCCTCACCTCCGTACCGACCCCTGTCTCCACTGTCCTGCAGCCCTGACACGGGTAACACACACACCAGGCCCCTGTGAAATCCATTTGATTTGTTCTGTGCTTTAGTATTAGTTTTTCTAAATTCCATTTTAATTATTTCAAACAAAATTAAAAATAACTTTTATAATTCATTAAAAATAAGTTTTTGCATTATGCATTAACACGTCTAATCAAATTGATAAAACTGTATAAAACTTAAAAGTTTTAATTTTCGGAATTCCATTTTAATTAAATAAAACAAAAAAAATCGTATATTCAAAAAGTGAGTGTGAAATAAAATTCATAAAACGTTGATAATTTAATATTCTAATGTTAACAGTAATAAGGCCCTATAAAATCTTTAATTTTTTTCCCAAATGCTGTTTTATTGTTTCTGAATTACATTTTCATTAAATTAAACCAAATTAGAATTACATTTTTATATTCAAAACAAATGTATAACCAAGTTCATGATTTTTAAGTCAAAAAGCATATCCAATAAAATTCATAAAACTTAATATGATGATTTAATATTTTTATTAAAATGTTAGCAGTTATAAGGCCCTGTGAAATTTCTACTATTTTCCCATATTCTCATATTCTCCCATATTCTGTGATGTGTTTGAATGTTTTCTGCATTCTATGTTTTATGATATAATAAAAATGTATAATAAAAAAACTGTAAAATCAAAGGAATTAAAAGAACTCTGAGAAGTTGATCAATCATTTAAAATCTAATCACATTTAAATATAATAATTCCTTTACAAAAAGCACATTTTATTTTTAGTTTTTAGGTTTACTGTATAATTGAATTGTTATTCCTTAAAAAAATGTTGTAATAGATTGTATTTTTATTAATTATAGTTTCGTTGAATAATTCTAACCCTGCGCGCTCTCTCTCTCTCTCTCTCACACACACACGCTCTCTCTCTCTCTCTCTCTCACAATCCTGCCATTCACGACACCATGCCGTGGCTCGCCACATACCTCGACACCATCGACAGGTACATAAACACAGAGCCGTCACCTGTACACTAGTGTCCAAAATTTTTGATCAAATAAATGCAGCCTTGCTGAGCAGAAGAGACTTATTTCAGAAACATTAATAAATCTTAACGACCCCAGACTTGATGGAATCATGAGCGCTGCTGTCACTCAAACAGTAAAGCACAGAAAATGGAAATTATTTTGAATAATTTGAATGTTGATAATGAATATTGAAGCTCAATCTATGAATTAAACACATTCTGCATGAGATAATGATTATCAAATATTTAAATGACACATTAAAAATCAGAATAAATTAAGTGTACATTATCATCTTTTTGATGTGATTTTAGGGTGAAATTTGACCCAAACATGTTCTTGACTAGCTGATGTGAGATTAGTGTTTATTAAACTAGATTTCACTTTCTAGTTTTACATTTGTCTGTTCCTACTCTGTGTGTGTGTGTGTGTGTGTGTGTGTGTGTGTGTGTGTAGGAGTCGGTGCCCCACCCCTCCCTCGCTCCTCAGTGATTTGGCACTGCAGAGGCTCCGCCCCCCGAGCAGCGTGGCGTGGGCGGAGTTTCTGAACGCCTCAGCCAATGGAAGGATGGAGAGAGACTTCGCTCTGCTGACGCTGACAGACACGGAGCAGAGAGAGCTGTATGAAGCTGCGCGCATCATCCAGAATGCCTTCCGCAGATACAAGGTACACACACACACACACACACACACACACACACACTCTTTCTCTCACACACACA